TGTTTTTTCAGCCATCGGGAAGTGACTAACATTCAGATTCCTGCGACTGCTAAGGAGAAATAGATCGAGTTTTTCACGGGTTCCCCTGATTTTCGGGATTGCGTGAAGAGCGCTGACCGCCTACTCCTAGAACTCTTTCGTCTCTCCATCACTCCAAACTCAGCGACTTTTAACCCCAAAAGACTTCATTCTTCTGGGAATAGTGGTAAGGCTTTCTCTATGTTCTATACCCGTCCAGTGCATTGAAATCAGTAGCGCCAAAAGTGAAGATCAAACGTTTCAAGTGGTTGTTTAAGAAGAGATGCTGTCGTGAGGTCTTGTTGATATTATTTGCATTACGACACCCTGGTTGACATTGCATGTCATGCACCAGTTCTCGTCCCGTGCACGCAGTTTCTCGTAATAGCTGAGAGATGCTTTCATCTTTTATCACCCACCCTATTTTAGGATAATATACAAAAGGCAATATAGCACAAGTTCACTTCCCATACTAGATCATTTACATAGGTAATGAGTAGTAGCAGCCCAAAAACTCACCCCTGTGTGTTTACACATTAAACAGGCGTTCATTGCGAACAGTAGCAAGTCACAGTACCTCCTTTTCTGTGCATCTAAAACTAGCTGTGGTTTAATAAGCGGTTTGTTAATGAAATGTGACAGAGAACAGAGCTGGAGAGGTGATCTTGTGGTGAAGATCACTTGGAAAGTTCGGTTTTTTGAAGGGCGTCGCTCAATTTTTTTTGATTTTAAGGTTCTGAGGTTGTTAAGGTTAATTGTATTACGTTTGATGTGTGAATGCATAGTCATTTAGACCCTAGACCCTGATGACCTGTTCATCAAGTACTGCGTTTTGAGTAGCCACGGACGAATTGAGTGGCACCTCCACCAGGACAACCGCTGGCGCAAGCACAATTGACATCCTCTTATTTTGGTAGCCAACTATTCACAACTTCCGCAGAAGCGCAATTTCAACCATCTTCCATGTTGAAAGTGACTCTTGAAGATCCCCCTTCAAAAGCAAACATTACAGCAGTGTTAAATCTGTGTTATTTCAAAGCACCTAGGGTGAATGACCTTCGTGCCAAAGTATGTATTCTGCCAATATTGACATCCTAGCTCCATAAGATAATTTAAAAAGGCCTGGCGAAATGCAGTTGAACCCAGTGATCCGAACTCCATCGTCCTTGTTCCTGTTCTTGAGAAGGGACATATATCTAGTCAACGCCCCACACGAAGATATTGCTATCCACCTTCCCATTCAGTTAAGGGTATGAAGTTTCTCAGTGGACGGTTCAGACGTCAGTCACGGCCTCAAATTCCACCGGGAACACCACTCGTTTCACTGAATTCGACGCAGCGCTTAATTCCATTCACCACGATTCCCTTTGATTAGTCCACTGATTTGCGAATACCTAGAGAACGTAATTTCTGGTGAACAAGCTCGCGCTATGAGTATCTATCCATTCGCACTGTAAATACGCATTTTTTCTTCAGCCATATCACCGACCACTGCAATGCTGCTATTGCGTATATAACTATCATCTAGAAAAGTGGTCAGATAGATAAGTAGCATTAGTGCTTCGAGCGGGTTTTGATTCGTCATGAAAACTCCATCATCATGAAGGTCCACGTGCAACGAAAATCTGCCAAGAGAGCTATATTATGACTGGAAATTTCGGACT